AGAAGTTAGCAGTTGCTCTCTTGTGACCTTCCTGTTAGCATCCTTGACTCCAATCCAAACCCCTGCATCTCCATGAAATTGCTTCCAGATTACCATTAACTCATCTCTAGCCTCATTTTCCTTTTCCTCTTTTTCTCCTCGATTGTGAGGCCTTACCCACTTGGCTGCTTCATTACAGGTGACCTTCAGCACGGGCTTTGTTTGGAAAGTGATTTAGAACCAAATTACCCATCTATTTCTTTCACCTCCTCCCTCTTACTGAATGCAGCAAGAGCAGCACCGGAGAGGATGTCTGAAATAGCACATTTTGAACACATTATAGAAAAGGAGATAGAACAGAATGCCATCCTCCACCACAGTTCAAAATGAAAGGGCTAAACTGCTCTTGGAGAAATGACAAAACAATTGCACAATTCATTCTAAGGATACAGGTGAGTCTGATTTAGATCAGATGGAAATCTCTCTTAAGAAACTGGGGATTGTGCTAAGAACAGAGACTGCAGGACAACACAGGCACTGCAGGGGGCAAAGCAGAAGAGGGATGGCAAAATAAACCTTGTTGCTCTGGTTAAATCTCACTGGAGCCAGCAAGCAGAATAGGTTTCTCTGATTCACACTAAATCAAAGAACAGTTATATATCTGCTTGGTACAAACTAAGCAACACAGGTTACCATTCAAATCACAAACACAAGGGTTGAGTATGAGCTACAACACAAAGCCGTGAGCTGTACTATAGGCTCATGGCAAGAGGGGCAGTTCTGTACATGCGTGAAAGAGAAAGGAGAAGATGAAGAAATAACTAGAGCTGGAACAGATCGCCAGAAACAGATCACCAGGAAAAGTCAGAACAAACAAAGGAAATCTAAAAAAAGTCAAAAAGAGAGAAACGATACTGATAAAAAGCGTGATTATAGAGTCCTCCATCTCCTAAGTGGCACTAAGAGCTACAGAGAGTTAAAAGCAGAGTAAGTGGGGAAGCAGCAGTGGAGTCCCTGATTTTGTGGAGGAAGGATTGTTCAACCATTACAGCATAACATGTAGAGGGTATATAAGCAGCAGACACTTACACAAAAGAATGTTCAAATCAAACACCTGGAAAACTGGACCCACTCATGAGAATCTGATTCTCTTTCTTTTTTTTGGTGGTGGCATATCCATCAGACAACATTTTCTGAGCAGAATCACAGGGGTTGGAAGGGACCTCCAGAGCTCATCGAGTCCAACCCCCTGCCAAAGCAGGTTCCCTACAGCAGGTCGCACAGGTCAGCATCCAGGCAGGTCTTGAACATCTCCAGAGAAGGAGACTCCACCACCTCCCTGGGCAGCCTGTTCCAGTGCTCCTCACCTCACTGTAAAGAAGTTCTTGCACACATTGGTGCAGAACTTCCTATGCTGCAGTCTCTGGCCATTTCCCCTTGTCCTGTCTCCACTCACCACTGGAAAGAGTCCGGCCTCGCCATTCTGCCCCCCACACCTTAGATATTTATAGACCTGGATCAGGTCCCCTCTCAGTCTTCTTTTCTCAAGACTTGAACAGACCCAGTTCACTCAGCCTTTCCTCATAGCAGAGATGCTCCAGGCCCTTCACCATCTTTGTGGCCCTCCGCTGGACTCTTTCCAAGAGATCCTTGTCTTTTTTGTACTGGGGAGCCCAGAACTGGACGCAGTGCTCCAGATGAGGTCTTACCAGGGCAGAGTAGAGGGGGAGGATCACCTTGACCTGTTGGCCATGCTCTTTTTAATGCACCCCAGGGCACTTCCAGAGGAGCATAGCCGAGATGCTAGTGCCCAAGCTGCAGACTTCCTAAATTCTCTTGGACTCCAGTGACATGGACCAGTGAACTTAGGAACAGCTTAGAGCTCTGCAGAACTGAATTCTCAGCCTGAGGACTTACAGTGATCTCTAAGTCAGACACATGACCTGCTGTATGACAAAGGGAATCTATGTGATTCTTAATCCATGTAGGAAGGGAAGGAATAGTCACACTGAACTACTTTGGAGAATTAAATCAGTAGCAAACTGTTGTGCACGACCATTTCAGCACAGTGACTTACCAGCTGATAAGAATTTAATTTACTAACAGAAAACATAAGAGGAAAGTCAAAACTAAGCAAAGCAGTAACAGAGAAGCCCAGTAATGAGATGCTCACGTAGGAGGCGATTGGTTGATCCACGTGTTAAAAAGCAGCACAAAGCGGCCACAGGAAAACAGCGGGAAGAGATTAAGTGCTGACACTGAAATGCTATTTCCAGCTGACATTTATCTCTGCCTTGGAATTCCCAGTCGGAGGGGAGGTGACAACAAACAGGAGAAATTTACACTGGCCACTTTATGCAAATCTAACCTTTCCGCACCTGCCAGGTGGGAAGCATTTATTTACTCTCTGGCTGTCTGGCTAAATTGGCAGAAGCTCCAAATCTGAACAGAATACAGAGAAGGTCAAAGGAATGTGGCTCATGACTGTAATTTCAGGACCTGCTACAGGCAGTAGAGTTTTAATGTGGCAGCTGAGAGATATACACTCTAAGCAAATGAACTGGCAGAAGACAAATGCATGTGCCAGTGTATTCTCCTTGGTCACAAGGATTTTCCAGGATGCAGAGATCTGAAAATGAGCAGTAACTGTGAGATGTCCCAGTCTAGGGGTGAATTAGTCACAGTTTTAAATAGAAAGATAACATTTAAATGTACACTATCAAAATAACATGTTTATATTGCAGACAAGCAAATGAAAACATAAATTCCTGCCATTTCTGAATAAGACTGTCTCTTTTTTTGGCATGTTAAATATTATCTCTTTGCAATATATAGCCACGTTCAGCTTTTTACATTAGAAAGTCTATTTTTGCCCATGTAAATAAAATGCAGCCATCTCTTGGGTAGGAAGCAGCACAAGAGCCCTGGTTCCTGGTATAGAAGATCAGGGAAATACTAAAGACCGATTTGTCTGGCTAAAAGTATAGAGGAAGACTTCAGATAGGCTGCAGGTGCCTTTGCATGACACTGAAACACAGTCATGACACGGGAAATTAAAGCTGATGCCCTAAAAGTAAAACTAATGGAAGACAGGAATTGACTTCTGAACAAAACAAAGCATCTTGTGTCATCTTGCTCCTCTAGGATCTCCAGGGTTTATAGAAGAAGATGAAATAATGCTAAGTTCACAGTAAATACCACTGAAATCTTTGATTCCTCAGCTGATACACCTGTCACTGTGCAACGTTAGGACCAAAGCAAATGGCATCACATTTGAGAGTCTCATGCAGACAAAATAGACACATTTCCAATGCTGTATCCTGCAGACTTCAAGTTGCTTTCGGCATATCATTGAGCCCAGTTTTGCTTAGCATGCAAGAACTGAAAACAGCCTGGGGTTGTCTGGTTGCAGGGCACGCCAGGGGCATATTTCTGAACTGGGCATGCCCTCACATTGCCCCTGCCCTACATCTCCATCTGGCTGCTTTTGTGCAAGAAAAGGTGAAAAAAAAAAAAAAAAAAAAAAAAAAAAAGATTTATGAAGCATCAGGAAAGAAAAAGAAAAAAAAAAAAAAAAAAGAAAGGTAAAGAAAGAAAAATCCCATAGGATAAAAAAGATGAGAAATTCAAGGCAGTTTTAAAGCAGTTAGTGAAGGCAGGAGCCCAAGCTGACCTGAAGTCAGAGCAGTGAGAAAGTAAATGGACTTTTAAGGACTTCAGCTGAGATTTTCAAAGTCTTTCCGACACCTTGGATGTTCATTTCCACTCATTTCGTTGGACACCCGCCAACAGAATCCTGTGGGCTGCTCTCATTCCGGAGGTCTGAATTCTGACAAAGAGCACCTAGACGACGTTTTATTTTTTACCCCTTTTATATGGATCTGTATAAAGAATCAGGGAAAACAGCAACCATTTCCTTCAACAACAAAGATTCTGAAGGGCCCAGAGATACAGGTTACAGAAGAATTACTGCAGGTTAAAGAAGAGTTGCAAACAGACTCCAGAACAGCAGAACGGCTCCTGACATTCACAGCCATCCTGCTCTTTTGCTTTCCCCTGCTTTTTACTATAATGAATGCTTGAATAACAGCCACATGGGTTCTTCCCTTTCCTGAAAGAAACAGCAATAGTAGAAACCAGCTTTTTCTTTACAATCCTCATGAGCTCCACATTAAGATGACTTGGGGCTTCAGTTCTGTGAGACTATTGACTGCCCAGCAGGTAAAGAAAGCAATAAGTGGAAGCCAGTTGATAGCAGCAGGTAGCTCCAATAAGTTTTGTAATCAATACAAAGTATAGCTGAGACAACTCCAAACACTAAGGCAAGGAAGCCCAACTTAATGTGTTTATAACCTTTCTCATTTCTTTTTGCTCATTTTTAAATTCCCCACTCCTTTCAGTAGCATTCAAGAACTAATTTCTCCATGGACATAACAAGCTTGTGCTTCATTCACCATTATCGTATGAATGCCTTGTAAATTGATTTACCTGCACGGCAAAGGGGAACTGCCCTGGATCTCCAGGACAGAGCTCAGCAGAAAGTAATTTAATTTGGTTGCTGTTTTTATTGGGTCTAAAGTGAGCATAAATGAGTGAAAAGGAAATGAAGAAGATCAGGCACTTCCGGGTTTCTGACAATGGCCAAAGACTGAATCAAGGAAGATGCAAGACCTTTCCAAGTGCTCCTATTGGATCCAGGTCCCGTTTTCTGCCCTCCTGAGGGTGCCAAAGACCCTTCACACATTCTACCAGTGCTGCTGTTACATGGACACAAACTCAGAGTTCTGAGCTCTGTCACAATGTTTGTGTTTGAGCTCCAAGGAACGTGGGAAGAGGAGCCTCAAGGAGACATGTGTGAAGGACAGGTAAGCAAAGGTATATCTAGATGTTATAAAGGCTTTGTAGCATTCTTGCCCAGACAAAACAGAATGCTGTAAGGATCAACAGGCATTTTTCCCACAGCACAGCACAAAAATTATCATGCAATTACAGAAAGATGTGTTTTGTGCTCCATCTCCTACCTGAAATCCACTGGGATATCTGCAGGTTCTTTTGCACATTGTTCTCCTCCTTTTCCAGTCAGTTGCAGAACCTTTCACCTCTACAGCAACTTCTCCTTCCCAGTGCAATTCCTCTGGAAGAAAAATCAGCATCAAATTAATTCTTTGGAGAAAGTGCAAACAGAATTTTTCTGCATCAGGAGTATTTTCCTTTTTCTTTATTAACTGGGATGGGAAATGGAGGAGATACTTTTTAGTTCTTTCAAAACTTTCCATAGGATTTTGTTCAATCTTTTCCAATGCTCTGATAAACAACAACAACAAAAAAACATTTCAACCTGAAAAATGTCAAATATAAAAAGCTAATAATTATCTTGGATGGCCAGAGAAAGAACAGTCATACTAGAGAATCAGGAAAAGTCCACATTTGTCAGTTACCAACAATTTCCAGGAAATTTTTCATTAAAGGCCATTTTGCAACAAGAAATAAATACATGCTTTTCAAAAAAAATACTAGAAATACTGAAAAAAGGATCTCAGGTGAATGCGAAAACCTTGACAGGAGGCCAATTTCATGGGAGATATGTAATGGTGCTTCACCGATTCAGCAGCCCCAGATATTCTTCCGAAGTAAAAAATGTCCTCCAGAACTATTTCATAAATGTTACCATCTTCAATATATATTTTTTAATATATCAGATGGATTAGAGAAAAATAACAGCCAGCTTCAAGCAGTTCCAACTGAGGAATCCAAATCAAGGATGCTAGAAGTCAAGCATTCCATTAGAAACTATCACCTGTCCACACTGGGAATCAGCAAGAAGGCAACGTAAATAAAAGAGTCCCTGCTGCTGCAGGACAGGCGTACAGCTGTGCTGAGATGACCACATCTGAAGCTCTTTCAGGATTCACCTCAGCCATTCTACTCTGAGAGCCATGGACTCCTCAGGCTTCATGATCAGAATCCATGCTTCACGATCAGCATCAGAACAGGACTCCTCCAGCAATCCCCAACCACAGCAGTGCCAGGAAGAGATGCTGCATCAGGAAGGCAATTTCCCTTTCTTTTTAACACATTTTAAATGAATGAATAATTCATCCCAAATGGCTTGAAGCCGAGTCGACTCTCCATGTTACCACCTGATTATATGTTCCATAAAAAGAGATGACAGCAATTTACCTCTCTGCTCTTGTAGGGTGGGCTCACAGGGGGATAAATATGCTGCCACCAAACCAGAGTGATGAATCGTTCCTCAGAACAACCAGCGATGCTTTTAGTGATTTGGCATTTAGTGCTTCCCAGTGGGAGTAGTAAAGAGAGGGACACTAGCATCAACCGTCAGGAAAGGAGGGAAAACTACTGGCAATGTTTTGTTCTCTTTGTTTGTCTCCATTGGATTAATTCACTGCAGAATACCCAGCAAAAGCATCTCAGCAGAGGAGCATTTCTCCTAAAAGCAGAGCAGCCTGCAAAGCTCAGGTGCTCACATTGCTGCTTGGTGCTCAGGAAAGCAGCCATTAAATCTGATCCTGTTTCATTATTGATTAAACAGCAGAGTTAGGCTGGAGGACAGGAGCTGCATTACACATTCCCTAAAATGATGCTTCTTCTCCCTGGGCCACTCGTGTAACAAGCCGTGTATCACCCGCCAGCCTTTCAGTTAAAAAAATGAGAGCAAGAGAGATTTGCACTGGGCACTAAAGCACACTTAGAGGCAAGAGGGGAATTGAAGTGGTGCTATTCTTGCTAGAATCAGCCTGCTCCATTCCTTTACCCACACCAACGTAGGACAAACTGAGCTTCTCACAGGAGGGGACCATTAGCTTGGCTGGCACAGGGCTTTTTGGATAATTTAAAGCCACCAAGCACAGATTTTGTTAAGGCAGCCTAAGAAAGGAGGGCTTCATTTCCTAACCAACTTAAGCTTGATACCACTGTAGTCTGTTATGGGACACTGTAACACCATGGAAAGTACAGCAATGACAACAGAGTAACAAAATCCTAGGCTACAGCAAGTGAGGACTTGCACAGCAGCTATGGACACAGAAATAAAGGAAAGAATCTGCTAACCTTCCAAAAGCCTCAAGGTACACAGGGATCTCCAGCAAAATACCTCTCCTACCACTGCCAACCCTTAAATGAGGTCTGGGAAGGGGTGGATCCTGGCTCCAGCCCTTCTGGTCATCCATTGCACACAGCTGAGCTCCCCTGGGCTGGCCCTGCCTTCCCATCCGGTGCTCAATCACTGCTTCAAGCCATGATTTAGCATTTCTGCTACAGACATCTCTTATGTTTATGGGCACACAAAGAGCTACACCAAGCCATGGCAGCCAAGTTTGGAGACATCAAAGGTGGGGCTGGATGGGGCTCTGAGCACCTGATGGAGCTCCGGGAGTCTCTGTTCAGTGAATGGCAGTTGGACTACATGACCTTCAAGGGTCCTTTCCAAACCTAAAATCAATCTAAGCTCAATCTCCTTTCCCACAAATGCATCCTGGCTATGACTTTTTTCTCAGTGCTGTGATCCCTCCCACTCAAAACCACACATGGTTCACACTATGCAAGAAGCCCTTTGCAGCCAGATGCACCCACTGGCACAGAAGCCCATGAGACATTTCCTCGTGCACACACTGTGCCTGCACATCCACACCTCCACTGCCTTCACCTGCACACTTTGTTCTGCTGCCTCTGTCCTCCCCTCTGCTCCCAGACTGCAAGGGGCTGATCCAGCATGTAAATGTGCTACAAAGACACATCCTCTCTGCCTCCCTGCTGGCTATGGGGAACATAAAACACAGTGGAGATTGCTGCTATTTTATTATTTATGAAGCTTTGGTTATTTCGTGTATAAATAATCCATGACTGCAAAGTGTTGCTGGCGCTGTAATTGAATATTCATGAGGTATTTTTGTTGAGAATTTTTACCATCATTTCAAACCCGGGTGCAAAAATAAAAATCATCATGATAAAAATTTCATCTGTCACTTTGCAGTTTTAATCTCCGAGAAACAAAACCTCTTTCTCTTCCACCCCGAGGATTTTCTGAGGTGGAGGGAACAAAACAGTGGGGTTAATCTGGAAGGCAGGTTCACGCTGCATTGTAAAGAAGCAGATGCATCCTGCATACAGCTCTGCCTGCTGTCTCTTAGCATTGTCAGGATGCTTCATCTGTGGATGCTTTGCTGTCTGCAAGGAGCAAATGCAGATCTCCCCCTCTCCTTCCTAGAAACACCTCTCTTTTCAGGTTTAATCCCAGTCAGAACCTTGACTGAGGAGCACTCATGTGGGATCACCCAGCAAACAGCATAATGGAAGCATGCTGCTGCCACCCTGTGGAAAATGGAGGCCCCCAACTGCTGGGGGTCACTCCAGAGATTCACAAAGCTACAGCTGGTATGGTGGTTACAGAGGGTGGTGAGGCAGTCATGGTCCTGATGAGACAAATGGTGAACAAACTGGGGAATTTCCTTGAAGCAATTGTGGGATTTGCAAGGAAGGTATCTGCATGCTTTGCAGGTATGATTGATGTGTTTATGGTGTGCCCATGGTGGACAGGGGTCATGTGCACTGAGAGGATGGAAGAGAAACATAGAATCATTAAGGCTAGAAGAGACCTCCAAAATCACCAACTCATCCTCACCATGCCCACTGACCACATCCCTCAGGGCTGCATCTTCATGGTTGTTGAACACCTCCAGGGATGGTGACCCACCACCTCCCTGGGCTGCCTGTTCTAATGCATCACCACTCTCTCAGAGAAGAAATCTCTCCAAATATCCAACCTGATCCTCCCCTGATGCAGCCTGAGGCCATCACCTCTTGTCCTATCGCTGTTACAGGGGAGAACACCGCCACCTCGCCACAACCTCCTTTCTGGAAGTTGTCAGGACTGACGAAGTCTCCCTTGAACCTCCCCTTCTTCACACTGACCCATCCCAGCTCCAGCTCCCTCAGCTGCTCTCCATAGGACTGTGTTCCAGACTCCTCACAGCTTTCTTGCCCTTCTCTGAACTCACCGCAGGGCTTCAATGTCTTTCTTGTAGTGAGGGGCTGAGTACCAGCACAGGTTCTCAAGGACAATTTTGGCAAATTGTTGGACACTTGCAAAGAACAAGCATCTCTTGCATTCCAGAATAGTATAACGTGAAGCTTTACCTGCTTGCCTTGCTGAGATTTCCCTTTTCTTCTCCCAAGGCTCTGTATTCACTGTGCCCTTCAGCTCCTCAATTTCTGCCCCAAAAATGGCTAGAGGGGACTAACAAAAAATACAGCCCTATCAAAACTCTTCCCCCCCCTTCATATGTGCATCTTCTGGCCTTCCTGGTGAGGAAGCTCTGCAGTCACCTCCATGGTACAAGACCAATGCCCAATTCTCATTTCTCCCCTACAAGTTCTTCAGGTCATAGCTCCTTCCTTTTCCAATTCTGTGAAGCACTGTGTATGCAGGGAAAGGAAACAGCAATGGGAGAAACAGAATGTTCCCAGCCTCCTCAACCCCAAAGTGGAGCATATGAGGACCTGGCAGTCAGATCTGAAATCTGAGATTCTGCCACCATCCACACACATGTGGCATTGCAAGGCTGAGTCCCATCAGCACATCACAGATGGGAACAGAACTCTCAGAGCACTTTACCTTCCAGAGTGATTTATGGGCTCTGTCACTCCAGCAGACTGAACCATGGAGACAGCTGGAGCGTGCAGCAGCACAGAGCAGCAATCCATCACCACCATGTGGGACTCATCCAGGAATCCATCAAGGGCTTCATCATGGTGACATCTCTGCAGAGGCAGAAAGAGAAACAAAGGAAAAAGGAGACAGAGAGAGTGAACCAAGAATGGAAAATCCACACTGGATTTCTCAAAACATGAGAGTCAATGAAGTAAAACAAGATTACAGACACCAAAACATGTGTTTGGTGCTCTTAGTGACTCAGGTGGACCTGCTTTAAAGCCACAGATTACAATGCCTCACACAGCTGTGTTGAATGCTCTGGTACTCTGAGACCAGCAAGGATATATGCATGTATAAAATCACAATAATGTAACACATACCTATATAAGGCCCTGTACACAGCTTGGCACATGAAAGGACAGGGGAGCATATAGAATGCAGAGTCCATAAGCACGGTAAGAATGCAGAAAGTAAACTCAATGATGCACAGAGATGCACACTCCCCAGTGCAGTGACATGATCGGTACAAGACTGTGCATTGTCTTACTTTGATGTACAATAACAATCAGAGATATGTCAAGTTATCCAGAAAGGAGCTTCTCTCCATCTCCAAAATCCATAAGAAAACAAGGAAACATGATTTCTCCTAAATCTGCTAGACACTAGAGAGAGAGGTAAAGAAAATATCTGCTCTTGGAGAAAACCAAAGCAATTTACCTTTGAATAGGAAGCAGCAGAACAAAGCACATTATTCCTTTTCACTCCAGAGACAAACACTGATGTTGTTTTGAGTCATGCTGATATAGGTTAAGTAAGTGCTCCCAAAGCTGACAAAAGATAGAAGATGTGTTAGGACCTCTCAGAACACTAAATCAGCTGAAAAACTGGCAAAAAATAAAAATAAAATAAAATGAACAAAAGGATTCAGGAGTTGGGATTAAAGGTAACAAATGTGTTTAGGCATCAGGAGGTGGATAAGGCTCAGGGAGGAGCAGGTGCAAGAGAGATGGGGGTGTGAGTCAGGGAGAGCCTTGGGAGAAAACAGAGGAAGGCATCAAGTAAGGGAGTGGGAAAGACTTCACAGGAGGCTGAGGTTAGGAAGGCTTGGACTGGGGAACAGCAAGTACCTGGGATGATGAAGGAGGCATTTCAGATGTTCTGACACAGTTTTTTCCCAATGCTTGTCTCCTCGAGAGTCCTTTACATGCTTCTAGAAGACCCTCTCTCCCATTTAGACATCCATGGGACAGCATGTATCCAAATGCCCTGAGGAGATAGGAAACTGTGGAGATAATATGATTTGCAGTGCCACAAGAGCTGCTTTTGCAGCACAAGGTAGGCTGGCTTGTATCTAGCTTACCTCCAGCAGATTCTCTGCTGCTGTCTGACTCACATGGACTGTGTGGAGCCATTTGAGTTTATGATCCTTTTATCTTTCTGACCAAGGGATCATAAGCTGCTTCCCCCAAGAAGAATAATGAAGCTTCATACATTACACATCCCCCAAAGGACTTAATTCTCCTTAATCTAAGGGGAGGATTTGTCTTCAGTCTCCAGCCCTTTTATTATCCATTTGTTGCTCCATCTGTAGCACAGATCATAAAGGAATCTTTTATTTTTTGAGTCAACTTTTTCTTGGGCCTTATTTGGGCCTCACATAACATCCCAGGCTGCTCACAGCTCATAGAAATAGAATAAGACAGAGACACTGGAGCCTGGATGGCCTTGTCCTTGCTCGTAGCAGTGCATGGTAAGGACAGGGAGATGTCTGACTCCTAACCAGAAAAAAGAAATTGTGAGTCATGAGAACACAGCACTGACACTTATGCTTCACTCAGACCCACGCTTGCCCTGAATAGTGACATTCTGACAAATTAAAATGGTTCTGATTTTGTGAGTTATGGCTTTCAAAGCCAGGCTGGATGTGGCTCTGGGCAGCCCTGGCCTGGTGGTTGGTGAACCTGGGGGTTGAAATCAAATGATCATTGTGGTCCTGTTCAACTCAGGCCATTCTATGATTCTATGATTCTATTAACACTCTGGTGAACCAAGACTCCTCTCTACTATGCAGGGTGCAAAGACATTTGAAAGAGTTTGGTTTTGTACCAGAGAGCACATCTAACATTCTCAGCTTGTTTTTGAAGATATGAAACACGTGCAGCCTACTGATGGTGGGTTGTGGATATTGAGTTCTGTTCCCACATCTTTCGCTGATCCACAGCCTGGCTTTTAACATATTTCATGGACTCACAGAATGCTTTGAGTTGGAAGGGACCCTAAATGCTGTCAGGTCCAACAATGCACTGAGCAGGGACACCCACAGCTCTATCAGTGCTCAGAGCCCCTCCAGCCTGACCTTGGGTGTCTGCAGAGATGGGGCTAAGTGCCATAACAGTACAACTTCACACATACTGATGGTTCCAAAGGTTAAACAAGACAGTGCTTTCTCTGCCTCCATAACATCTGTGCACTAACCAGAGAGGATACCTGTCCAGGCAGCACGCACTCCTTCATACAGTCACCCTGACTCCTGTACCAGCTGTGTGCATATACTTGTATATGAGAATACTGGCGTCCTCTGACGTGCTGGTGCTTTATTTTCTCCCCTTGCTGTTCTCACTGGGCTTGAAACTGGCACTGAACTGAAAGTAATTTCCTTTCATTTTAAATAAATAATAATTTAACAATGCATGTTGCTGAATTTCATTCTTGCATCAAAGGGGAGATGATTGCACTTCCCAGTCCGGAAAGACAGAGAAGGGAGGAAGATATGGCTTTATAATTAAATTTGCTTTTCCTCCTTCCTTTGTGCATCTCATTAAAAGAAAGAGTAAAAAAAAAAATAGAGAAAGAAAAGCACACAGAGAACACTGTTTCTCAGCCCCAGGAGAAAGGAAAAACTCTCTTGTTTGTCTTTTGCTGCTACTTCCATGCAACCTCATGGATAACACAGGCGAGGGGATCCTTTCAGGTCTGCAAACAAAACAAAGGACACTGCAATGTGCTTGAACACTGGCTGGCTGTGCTGATATGCAGCTGCTCTCCCAGCCTGCCCAGGTCTAGGGATTACTAACCTTCAGACAGACTCACTGCATCAGAGAACAGCACAAAACACTCTTTCAATCAATGCAAACAAGTACACTGCAACTTTCTCCATAATGACCCTACACTCAGAGTCATCTTCCTCAGTGGAAAAATAAATGATTCTGTATTAAGAAGGCCTTGCCAAGTGAAGTTTATGAGAACAGCAAAAATGCATTCCTTAATAAAAGGGAAGCTATTGAAGCTTATGTACTTAAATATCGCCCAGGTCTCCTTCAGAACAACCTCTGATCTCTGCTTGGGTGATCTCTTTGTCACTGCCTGAGCGCTGCACTGGGGCTTACATTCTCAGCACAGCATCCACACTTGCTTTAATCCCATGGATGGATAGCCCTTGAACTTGGAAGCAGCTCACATTCAGCAGGGACTCTGGTCCAGTAACTTGCTGTAAATCTCTCTGCCTCTGCCCCTTCCCCCTTTGTGTATAGCAGGTTCTTCTCTGCACATTTACCATTTAGTAAGGCAGAACAGGAGGAAATTACCTTCAGCTTTCCTTGCCATCTGCATCCCAATTGCTCCAGTGGGATTTAGGCTGCATTCCACACGGTTCCATTTGCAGCAGATCTGGGCCAGAGGGAGAACAAGCTGACTGTGGCACGTCTCAGTGGATAAGACCATAGAGCAGTTGGCTTCTGGAGCTGTTCTGTTTTGACTCCTCTAGCTGTGGCTGGGTAGGGCTGCTGAGCATCCCCTTTCATATCACCCCACCTGCCAATCTGCAGCACCAAATATTAGCAACAGACAGCCCCCCTGCAGACAAAATTTAAACCCAGGGAAATAATAAAAAACATAGAAGTGACATTACTGTGCATTATAAAATACTGAAACTGCTTTTTTCAATTTGTTTCTGCCCCAGATAGTGGCAGTGATCAGCACTTTACTAAAGATGCCTCTTCCACATCCTGGCACATGTTATTACTGTTATTAATAGCAAGCCATAGCCGGGGGCAGCACTCTGTGCAGGTACATTTATTTCCTTCACAGCCCTGTCACCCCTTGCTAGTGCTCCAGCTCCCTGCAGCACACCCTGCTACGAGGTAAGGGAGGCACATGGAACATCAGGCACTGCTCTGCCATGCTCCAGCCTCATTCTGTCACTCAGGATGTGCCTGTTGTTGGCTTTATATCACCATAATTGCATTACTCGTGCCTTATACCACTGCAATTTCCTGTTCCTTACTCCTAAATCAAAACTGCCCTTAGAAAGGATAAATACTTGGACACTACCTCCTCTCCTCTGAGTCAGTTCAGAACCTGCTGCTCAGCAATCAGGCAAACTTTCTCCCAGTTTCCTTTCCTGTTTCCAAGTGCTAACTTCTGCCCTCTGAGCAGGACTTGACACCTCTTCTATGAAGAAAGGTTGCTGCAGCTGGGCTTGTTCAGCTTGGAGATGAGCAAGCTGCAGGAACACCTCATTGTGACCTTTCAGTACTTGGAAGCTTATAAACAAGAGGGGGATTGACTTTTACGTGGTCTGATAATGATAGGACAAGGGTGAATGGCTTTAAACTAAAAGAGGAGAAACTTAGGTTAGATCTTAGGAAGGTCTTTTTTACTCAGAGGGCAGTGAGGTCCTGGATCTGCTGCCCAGAGAGGTGTGGGTGCCCTATCACCGGCAGTGCCCAAGGCCATCAATGGGGCTCTGGGCAGTCTGAACTGGTGGATTTGCTCCCTTAGGCCTGAAGAGGCTCTGGACAGTCACTAATACACTAACTCCATCAGCAATGCAATCCAGAATTTCTGAGCACTGAAGAAATCAATACAATTGGGCAGCTTAGCTCCTCTGCCCGTGGGCCGCGTTCATCACAGCATGTGTAGGGAACAGTGTAGAGCCATTTAATAACACAGCTCATTAGGCTTCTGACAACAGGGGATGATGGAACTAAGGCCTCAAACACTGAGCCTCTTGAGTTTATTTGTACGCGTAGTTTCAGGCTGGGGATGTTACACTACCCAGCATGTGAGGAACACATGTTTGGCACAAGATTCAGAGAAAAATTCCCCAGGGAGATCATGTAGAAATCCCCCAGAGAGCAGAATGGAACGCTCAGAAAAATGCTTGGAAAACAGATTAAATGAAGCGAGTCGAGATCACCTGGAGGTGACAGTTTCCTTGGCTTCCTAACAGCAAGGAAGCAGAGCTCTGTTCCATTAGGATAACTCCAGAACCACCACTTCTGGCTGGTATACACTAGGTGAAACCTTCTCTCTTCTTGCCCCAAAATCTAAGCTACTCTGTTCCCTCAAATAATAACATTCATTGAGAAGCAGCTGTAATTCCTACCACAAGCCCGGCTACCTAAGCTATTGTATGCTTTTTGGAAAGACACAGCCCTGATTCAAAGACTTCTAGTAACAGAACCTCCACTAATAATCCTTGGTAAGCTTCTCCAGTACTTACTTACTGTATTGTTTAAATTGTATTTCCAGTCAAAGTCTAGATATCTTTTCAGCTATTTAGCTTCCAGGCACCGGATCTCACTGGCCGCTGACTACTAGATTAATGAGCATTCCATTATCAGAAATCTTTACCTTGTACTTGAAGGCAGTGATCAAGCCACCTCTTTAGCTTCCTTGGTATAAACCAGATGCAACTTCTTGGCACTGTCACATTTCACAGAGTTGTATAAGGACAAAAATGTACAAGCTGTGATTCTGCAATGACAGAAAACAGCATTGTCAGAAGTGGAGTCATTATTCAGAGCTGTTCACTGAGTTTATCTGCACTGGACATAAAATTCTGATAAAAAGTCACTGGCTGGAGCTATTCCATTGCAGTCGGTCAACTAAGTCAGATAGGTCAGTTCCAACTGAAGGGCACAGAGGTGTGTACATGTTGGTACTGACTCCTCTAAATGTTGAGCATGCAAGTTCAGATTACTTTCAGAAACTCTGTATCAGCAAAATGCACCTGCTTCAGTATTTGGAGAAAGAAATATCAGGAGCTTTTCCCCTGTTTTTCCTTGACTTTCTCGTGCTTCTGATGAAAGGGGAATTACAATTTTGGCAGAAGATGCACACAGACTCAGTGCCCGTATCAGGCTCTGTATTTTCAAAAGAGCTTAGCACCTGGATCATGGAATCATACAGGCTGGAAGGGACCTCAGGAGACCACTGAGTCCAACCTCCTTGCTAAGGCAGGTTCCCCAGAGCAGGTTGCACAGGAAAGAATCCAGGTGTACTTCAATATCTCCACATGAGACCCCACCACCTCTCTGGGCTGCCTGTCTCAGGGCTCTGTAACTCTGACAGTAAAGAAGTTCTTTTGTATATTTGTACAGAACTTTTCTACTGCAGTTTGTGCCCACTGACCTTTATCCTGTTGCTGCACACTATTGAAAAGAGCCTGGCCCCATCCATCTGACTCCTGCATTTTAGATATTCATACACATTGCTCAGATCCCCTCTTAGCCTTCTCCTCCCCACACTGAACAGCCCCAGGGCTCTCAGTTTTTCCTCATACAGGAGATGCTCCAGGCCCCAGTCTCTGTGTAGCCCTGCTGGGCTCTCACCAGCAGTTCCTTGGCCAGCCTAGCACTGGGCCCATTGCTCTGGATGTGGCCTCCTCAGTGCAGAGCAGAGGGATGGAGAACCTCCCTTGCTCTGCAGGCATTGTGCAATGCACATGGGGGTCCCATTGGCCTCTTGGCCACCAGGGCAAACTGCTGGCTTGTGGTCACCCTGTTGGCCACCAGGACATCCAGGTCCTTCTCCACTTGGGCTCCAATGTTTTACATTCATGCTCTGAAAGCATCATGAGCTCTTCTTTGATCCATATTCTTCCTTCCAGCATCATTTGCGCCCTGGTGAAAGACCATTGGGAGACAGACAACACCTCATGCTTCAGAAGAGCTGAGGCAGCCCCCAGCCATGTCCTTGATGTTGTTACCCACCACTGCAGTGAGGCAGGATAACAGCAGCAGCAGATCCTGGTGACAGGGGATTCCCCTGCCCTGCTGAGGCGATTCCTTACTTCGGTACAGAATGCAATCGATGAATCGCCCGGCTGCTCTTTTGAAAAACAGGCATTATTAGTGAGTTAGGTGAAATCACGCAGTTTAAACACAGTGATGACTTACAAAATGCAGCTTTCTATTCCATTCTCATTCCAGCTCTACAGCTGCTGCCAAAGCTTTTATTATTTATGCTTTCCCCTTGACTTTCTTCAGAAGTGTGGCTGCTTATTTCTCTTCTCCTTCCACCTCATGAGAGCTCCTAAAGCAGCATGACGGGCAAAAGATCTGAACTACATTAAAAAACATAGCAATGCAACTGAACCAGAAGAATGTCACCCCTCAGGCAGCCGCGTTGCTGCTGCAGCTGATCTAGATGTGTGAACCCATCTGCAGCAATCCCACAGGCCAGAGCTGCTGGGCCATGGCACCAGCCTGAAGGCAACTCTGTGCTTGCTGTCATGATTTGGCCTGGCCTTGCTGTGCACTGGGGAAGGGCTGGGGTTGCCCTATCCCACCCTGCATCAGTGCAACATGTCTTAATTGCTTTGCAGTGTAGAGGAAGCCTGCAGAGCTGATAGAGGCTGTCACAGAACAAGCAGAGATGAACAAGGTTTTGAGGGTGGGAGGGAGGGAGCAGAGAGAACTGTGTTTATGGGGGGAAGGCCACTCTGAGCAGGCACAGGGTGGGCTGTTGACTGGACTTGCTTCTCCAGGCAGTAGGAGAGGAGATCTAGGACCTCCAAAAAGCACACTGCCACAAAGGTGAGGGCTCAGCCCTGGATCAGACCTGAGGCAGAGGGCAGGCATGGTCCATGCAGCCTACAGGCACGTGTATCCTTAGTTAGAGCTCAGGAAGATCGCAGCACATCCAGGCCAACACAGCCCCTGACGGTGTCCTCCTCTGCAGGCACCTGAACTGCTAAATGCCATGCCAGTGTTTCCCACGAGGTTTCTGCTGTTCTCAGGACTACTGCAGCTTGTCTCCTTCATCCTGGTTCTGCTGCAGAGGGACATTCTGCACTGCGTTCTGCCTCCAGAGCTGGCATCTGCCTATGGCATTTTTCCACCCAAACCTCTTTTTTTCTGATCCCAGTACGGACTGTGGCCCTTCGTCACAGCACCTCTGGGCCTGCACAGGAAGTATGCGTGCCCACCCTGTTAGTGAAAATGTGAATAAAATGCATCCCAGCTCTGAGGTTGTGCATGTCAAGAGTGGGACCCCATCAACAAATGTCTGCTGAATCACCTGAGGGAGGCGGTGGAATTTTGGAGCTTCTAAAAGGGAAGGAGACTGATTTTTAACATGGGAAGATAACAATAGGACAAGGGGGAATGGTTTTAAAGTAAAAGAGGGAGAAATTTAGGTCAGATGAAGCACATCCAACCCACAGCCTGGCACAGCCTGCACTGCAGCTGCTCCCTGCCCCGTGCCATCATGGCAGGAGCTCCTCCCCACCAAGTATCAGAGCTAGATATTGGTGGCATGGCAGGAAAGCCAAAAGCTTGGACACTCATGGCTAGATACTGGGTGGAAGTTCTTTACTCAGAGTGCAGTGAGGTTCTGGCACTGCTGCCCAGAGAGCTATGCCCCATCCCAGGTTGGATGATATATGATAAATATTAAGGTATACTTAATATATATTATACTTTTTCTTACTTCTCAAGATAAAACCTAGAGGCACTAATTGACTCTTCATTTGGAACTAGTGAGATTAGCGTGTCGAAGACCATGGAAAAAGAAGCACACGTTTTAGTTGTAGAAGCACACTTGTCCAGGACAAATCTGTAGAAGTTTTGTAAGATCTGTATGTCCACACTCTGCACACTAGAAGAAGAATCATTAGATCTGGAGCAGAATAAAAAATGCCTTTCAGCTGCAGATCTGCCAAGGACACAGGACAATGGTAGGCAGGAGTTTGAAAGCACTCAGCTGCAAAATGGGAAGGGGGGCTGGTTTTAGGTATTAATTTAATCTGTATCTGTGACAGAACTGGGTCAGACTCCTGGGAAGATGTACACACAGCACTGGCCAGGGAGGAGGGATAGCCCTTGTCTTACCTGCTTACCAGTATTCACACTTCCAGCAGTAAGAGGGCTTTGCTCATGATCTACAATGTACCAATTCCCTCCAGGTGACACCCATCAGGTTTAAGGGTGTTTTTTGCATTGTCTCTGGATTGTATTTGTTCCACAAGGAGCAAAGAGATTTTGGCATTTTAGTTTGGGGAAAGGTTTTGACAGATAAAAGAAAGGTAGTTGTGCATGGAACACTTTTGGGAAGCTAGGGACCGGGATGGAGGCATGTTTCAGGCTGAATATGCACATATTAGGGCCTGTGGACTGCTGGCAGAGTACTGTGGTGCCAATGAGATAGTTTGCAGAGCAGAAAAGCCCAGCTGGCACCTCCATCACCAAGGGGATAGCAGGATGGCTCCTGTGGGACATACAGTGCTTGAATCATGTGCATCCTTCTCAGATCACTGATGTTTCCAAAAGGAGAGAAGAGGTGGGGGAACATTTGATCCACACCTCTGCACTGCACGAAGTATGCAGAGTTCCAGCACACTGCAGAAAGGGAAAGGACCAACGTGCCTGGCCTCAACCTGGTTCCACCTCCTTCTCCAAAACCACAGCTCATATAACTGGCTGGCAAGTCTCTCCCTTCTTCCTCTCCTCCTTCTAGCTACCTGCTTGCCAGGAATGGCATAATGGGGTCAGAGAATAAATCAGGTGCTATATCAGAGTATTCTATCCCTGACTGTGTAAAGAGCAGCTTTTGTGACTTCCTGATGTGATTTACCATACAATGACAACCTTTAATGTCCGCCAGTGTTATAATCTACTTTATCTTAATACAATCTTCCCCTGCTGAACTCTCCAGAGTCTTAACAGCTATTTTCAATGGAATTTTTTTTATTATTATGACTTGATACTGTGATTACTGTCGCACTCCCGCTCTTTGTGGAAGGGGAAATTAATAAGTTTTTTCTTAAGCACTTTGCACCAGAGCTGAATACCAATCAGCTCCCAAGCTGGGTCCCTGCACCTGCTGGATTCAATTATGAACCTTTGCTCTGACTTTCCAAGACACAGCCATTTCCAGATCAATGGCATGTCAGCACATCAGGCCCTGTTACACTTTGCATAGGTCCTCATTGTGGGGAGGACAGGTGACAGGCACTGAGTGGGGGACACGTGCCTTTTCCTCCACTGTCCTATGGCTGTCCCATTCATAAAGATTTCCAGTACATGCTCCCTTATCAGGGCATTTGGACTCATCATGCTTTAGAGAGGAAGGTTAAAGCAGTGCCACTTACAAAGTTTGTCCTGCTCCTCTGCCATCCTTGCTCTGTCCCCTCGCCTCCCTTTAGAGCTCACTACACCTCCCTTTCTCTCCAGGAACTCATTGCACTGTGCTATACCACACCTCACTTCTCCAAAAGTGACTACACTGCATGCTACCCCCACTGCCTACCCGCACTTGATAAGGGTCAGGCTGCACAATCCTTCCACATTACAGAGCCCTGCCAGTTAAATTCTAACACAGAAGAGCTTCTGTCTCTGTGAACACATAAGCTTCTTCTGTTCAGGATAGAAACCATCTAGCTTAATGTCTGGTCCTGTCTTTTTCTTTCTGCTCCCATCAGAAGAGGAATCAGAACATCCTGCCATTGTTCAGCTTCTATTTTTTTCTGCTTTACATGGTCTCCACAGGCTAGCAGTCACCAACCTAGAAAGCAGCATTTATATAAACAAGCAGTGAAATAAGGCTTACCCACAAAATGCTGCTTCTTCCATGACGATGTTTGGAGAGAACATTTGGATTGACTCCGAAGTACTTCATGGCTGATGACGGCTGGCTGTCACAATTTGGCAACTCAGTGCAATAACTGAAAGGCAGAGACAGTGACACTGTGAGAACGACATGCTTTGCCATTGTTTCCATACCTTGGGTTAGGCTGTTCCCATTTTGCACTTTACCATGTTGCAAGCTACAGTGCAAAATGATCTCCTTCTCTGAGGTAGGATTTCATGCCTTACTCGGATAAGTATAATTGAGCACACAAGAGTGAGGATATGAAGGAGAATACACCTGAGCTGTCATATTTTTCTTTTTTTCTTCTAAACAGTCCTGAAAGGCAGGAGCTGGGTCAATAAACACAACCCCCTGTCCTAGGCTCTTGGGGACAGTGCTGCAGCATTCATCTGTCTCTTTCCAGTTCTTTCAAGACTATCAAGTGCCACCATCCCCCAAGCAGCTAAGGCAGCAGGCAGGTACAGGCTGAGCAAGCAGCCTGAGCCCAGGCTGCAGATCTAGTGCTGGTATTGACCAGGAAAACTGAAAAAAAGAGAAAGAAAAAAAAAAAAAGGAAACAAACTGTCTGTAATTAGTCAACCTGATGGATGTCAGCAGGTTTGTTTGCTTCCTGCAAAGATGCCAATAGTCTAATGGAGCAAACATTGCCATTATGTAATAAAACCATACAGGTAATTAAAAAACTCCTGGCAGGACTACAAACAAGAACATTATCTATTAACTGTTTCAGTGGAGCCAGAGGGAATGGATACTGAAAATTCCTCTTCATTTGGAGGGAATCAGATTCAATGGAGACTTGACTGGGACACTTGACTAAGAGCTGGGTCAGTAAGGAATCCCATGCACTTCAACATCAGCATCTCTTCTGCTATAAAATACCCCCTTGGCTATTGCAGCATTCCTAAAGATGCCAAATAAAATAAAGAGGAACGACGGCATGTCCTGTTTTGAAAATGAGAAAGGGAAACACAGGAGCTGTGCTCTGTCTCATGGGTGACTCCCTGAGTGCACAGATATCTGCTCTCCCACTGTCTACTCCAAACTCTGCCCCATTCCTTTACAAGGAGTGAAGGCTACAGCTGGGCTCTGGGATTCATAAACTCTAAGAAAGAAAGCAGAGGACATAATCTGTGGCAGACTTTGCTGGCTATGTCTGATTTCTCTGACTTGGATTTTTGAGAGAAAGAAGGAGGCAGGATAGGATAAACTGTCTAAAACTGTGGATTTAGCACAAGGGTCGGTGAGGATCTCGCACCTTGCCTCCTCCACTGCATGCACTAGTAGCAAACAGCTCACTGAAAAGCAATGATAGAAAATAGAGGAAAAAATGGGAAAGTGAATAAGCACTAAACAAGCTCGCTGGCAAACTGACAGCTCATTAGGTATGTAAGCTCAGCAGCACGCAGTGCAGGCTGGTGCAGAAGAGGGCACACAGCAGAGATGGTGTTTGTGCAGGATACCCCAGCAGCAAAACAGTGCAGGCTGCCCAGGTCACAGTTCTTAGGAATTCATGGCTGGAGCAACATCCTTGCCTTCTATAAGGGCTTTTCTCCTAAAGAACTGACTTTCCAGGTGCCTTGCAGAAAGCATACATCAGGCATCTTTGAGCTCGTTACTGACAAGCAGCCTCTACCTCACTAAGCCTATGATTCTGGTCTACTGGCAAGGGCAAGAAGCAGAGAGCAATGCATCTTATTTAAATGCACTCAGCAGCTCAGCACACCAGCGGCTGGCAATGCAATAGCTTCATAGAACCCCTGCTGAAACCTGGGAAATCTAAGTATGGGCTTCAATGAGAGTGGGGTTTAGCTGGAGAAAAAAAACAAAACAAAACAGATTTATAAGAACTCTTTGCCAAATATTGTAAATCACTCCTATTTCCTTCCTTTAGTTTACCTGAGAAATATCACCTTCCTATCAAGGATCACAAGGAAGGAACCATGACCTTACTGTGCATCGATATTGAAGGGCAGCTGCCCTGGACAGCAGCTTAACAGATTTATGGAAGAAAGGCTGAACACCTATGATAAGGGGACACAGCTACATCCTGCTATTCCCATCTACCAGCAGTCAGTTGGGGGGCCTTGGGTGACAGATCCCTGCCTCAATTTCCCCCCATTTGCAGAACACTGAATCTGTGAAAGCTTCTGCAGCACTAAGGATAAACAGACAGTGCTATGGGCATGTGAGTTTATGTCTTTGCCAGACACAGACTCCCAGGCAAAGCACTGACATGAGCAGAGATCACAACAAAATGTGACACTGGATACGTAACAGGAAGAGGCAGAGATACACAAATTAAAGCTGTGTCAACTGGGTGACTCACTAGAATCACAATAGTCTCTAGGGCTTAAGTATGGTTTATTTATAGCTGCTGTGAGCATCGGGTCGCCAGATCTCAGAATGCCAGCTGCGAGAGGAAATGTTTTTTTCTCTTATTATTTTACCACTGTGCAATGTTTCCAGCTCACAGGAAGAGCTAATTAAATCAACAATTAAAGCTGTAAAGACTCCTGAATCACTGACAACACTGCACTGTATCTGACCTCTTCTGCCTTGCTTACGAAGCTCAGCAGTGATCTTGCTGATCTAAGAAACATTAACTGTCTGGTACAGGAAAGTCACAGCCAGGCAGACTTGGGAAGCAGAAAGAGACTGGAGAAGCAGCCAGGCTGCCCTGGAGAGATACGGGATGCACGAGGATGCTATGCTACTTTTGCACCAGCTTGGAGCCCATCTTTTTGGAGGCTTTGACACTACAGATAATTGTAATGGTTTTTTCAAACTTCACACTGATAAGAACAGCATGGAACTATCCCGAGATAAGCAATGTCTTCCAACACTGCTCCTTCAGGTGTAGGAGACAGGCAGTACCAGTCAGCCTAGGAGCTGGAAAACAGCACTACTGAGCCTGTCCAGCCTGCAGCCCCAAATGAAATAATGCCATTTGTATTCTTTACCACCATGAGCTCTCTCTCTCCAACCACTACAAAAACAGCACAGCCCTTTACCTCCACACAGGGGGTAATAAATATTTATTGTTTACAAAAGCATCATTAAAGAAAAATTTAAGCCCATGAAAGAAAAAGTAAGGCAGAATTTGTGTGGTTTTTTTTTTTTTTGGTGGCAAAGCTGCCTTATTAGTGGATAGAAAAATTCCCAAAGCAGCTTGTGTTCAGAAACATGTGGGAAGAAACATCTCACAGTGACTTTCCTCCAACACAAAAGGATTTGTAACAACAATGCTGACAGGATCCAAAGCTGCAACTCCAGATTTTCAGTTTTGACAATAGAATTATTGCACATTATTCTTTCTAAGTAAATTAAACCCATTAATCATCATAATTAGTAATGCTCTGTGTCAGTGATATGCTAACAGAGCTAGTCATTATACTGCGCTGTTAAAAAACTGAAGGATGATACCACAGCCTCTACATGCTGCTGCTGTCACTGGCTGGCTGCGGAGGAGGATGTGAATACCCAAGCCTTAAGGACTCTAACATCAAAGAGATGTGAGGACAGTAAGAGATACCATCTTTCCCTTGCTAGATTTAAAGCCCCCTGGAGCGCTGAGAAATAGCAAAAAAGAACAAGAGGAGAAGTGAACAAATCTATCCTTGGCGTGGTTCTGCTTGAGCTGGTTCAACCACGACAGAAATGATTTTGGCCCAGCAGTTCTCACTCTTGATTTGTACCCTGAAAAGCAAAGGACTGAAGTGTGAAGGCAATTCCAGCCCTTGGCCCCAGGGAGGCATGCAAAGCCCATAAGGATGCCATGCTTTGGCACAATTGCCCTAGTGCTGCTCTCATCAACATTTCATCACTATGGATGCTGCACTAATGATGTGGCTATCCAACCTTACATATCTACACACCAGTTAATGACTGACAGATTTATTTATCATGATGCAATTGCTTTATACCAACCTGTAACAAGTAATACTCAGGTGCAAGACTCCCACTGAGCCTTCACAACCCATACTTGAAATATATTTCAATCTGATTGTTGTCCGCTTTTAGGTGTTTGAATTTAGTTCTATGCACAGACTGCTGGTGTCAGAGGGCAGCCTGTGCAGCACAACCATAAAAAAACCTTGATGATTCTTACCCCAAAGAGCTTACTAACCAAGTAAATCACATCAAACACAACAAATAAACTTCTTCAACAAGTCTTGAGTTCCTTCTTTTGCAAAATATATCTGGAGAGAGGAGATTTTTGTACCTAACAGATCTGTTATCTGAAATCACTTACCAAAACGTTTCATTAATTTCATTTTCTATACCCCTCACTAGTCAGACTAAGTTGCTTAGTTACAACTGTCACTTTGCATTATTCCTGCTCCATTTGCCTGATTTGACACTGAGTTCCTTGATTGATTCTAATGCTGATGCTGACTTAAACTGAATTTAAAATTTCCTTCCTGTCTGCCTTGTAAGATTGGGTATTATGAACATTATGGGAGTGGACACAGAGGAATCTCATACAGAGACAACACACCCACACACATTGCTTGCTAAGATGCCATAGTCCAGCAGTGATTGCCTTTATCAGTCACACCTTCCCAACATGCTCCTGGGACAGGTGCCCAAATCTGGAATATGGCAGGTGCTCACAGGTGCATCACTAAATCACAGCTCAAATCTTCAGCCCAAAGAAGCTTTGAGCTTCATGCCCAGGCAGGTGCTGGGGTTCAAGAACTGTGGAGATGTGGCACTGAGGGATGTGGTCAGTGAGCATGGTGGGGGACAGGCTGGGGTTGGACTTGATATTAGTGGTCTTTTCCAACCTTAATGACTCTATGATTGTACCGTCCCATTCATTACCATCCCCCTTTCTTTAACATATGCTCTGCTCCATTCTCTTCACATTACCTCTTTCCCCCACATATTACTTTGCCACTTCTTCCACACCATCTTCTAAAACCGCATTTACTGCTCAAGTTTTTCTTATATACTGAGCTCCATCTAGTGACATAACCAAAGCCTTATTTATCTCCAGCCAACCTTCACACTGTGTGCTGGACAGAAAGGAGGTGAGACTGAACAACACTGGGATGAAAAGCCTTTCTGTCT